CCTGCATTTCACAGGGCTTCGCAGCCAGTGTTCCTGTTTATCATTTGCATTGGTACATTCTTCATGGGTGTTTCGGTGTTGCTCCTAAGCTTCGATGACGCCGTCTTGAGGTCAATTGGATGCCAAGCGGCATGCATTGCGTTTCCATGGGCACTTTGTTTGGGTTTTGCTCTTACCGCCTCAGCTCTCTTTACCAAGACACATCGCATCAATCTCATTGTCAACCAACGACAGTTTCGAAGAGTTGCCGTGACTGCGCTGGATGTCATGAAACCCATGTTTTGTCTCGTGGGTATCAATGCCCTCACATTGATCTTGTGGAATGCTCTCAACCCGGCGGAATGGGTCCGTGAAACCACCGACTATGATGCCTTTGGCCGGCCGTCACATTCCATTGCCTATTGCTCTTACGAGGGGGCCATCCCGTACATCATCACGCTGGCAATCACCAACGTTGGGGCCATCTTTTATGCGTGCTACGAAGCCTATGTGGCTAGAGATGTCTCCACGGAATACGCCGAGTCCGAGTACATTTTCAAATCCATGGCAACCGTGCTCGTGGTTTGCTTTATCGGAATCCCCATGGCATTCGTGACAGAGGAGAGCACCACAGTCCACCGATGTACCCTTGCTGCCGTCATTTCGGCGTGTTCGCTAAGTTCTAACTTTATATTTTTGTTCCAAGATCAAGTATTAATCGCCAATGCGATTCGAGATGTCACATGGCAACAGCAACAATCAACCGCATCTAGGCGTCAGTCTGGAGTCTCCGCGTTTCGAGCACGAGATCGTTGTCATCCGAGTCTACAGGCGAAGAGTTTGGATTACGAGTCTTCAATCGGAAACATAGAGAAACGGATCTCGTGTCCGAAGTCCACAAATTGAAGAAGCAAAACATGAAACTGCAAATGGAAATCAACACGCTCAAGGCAGGCCGTGATGAGAGCAGCTTGGAGCTAACCCGACAAAACAGCTCGAAAAGTGTCACGTTTGATGAGTCGTCCATGATCGACAACCACCAGCTGCAGCATGTGGCCATCGCAGCTTGGAGGTCGATTGCTGTTCGGAGGCTGAGAGCATCATTACGATTGACCCATTACACCCAGACGATGAAAGCAATTTGGACGTGGCTCCGTTTTGAGGTTCTCTGGTTGTTGCAATCTCAGGCATACATTAGAACATACATGTCCGGGACGCTGAGGGTGCTGCTGCTGGAAGACTGAAGTTCCTCCTTTAAGATTACCGCAGGTCTTCGGTACCAGTACGAACACAAAGTGCGACATGCAAGAAGGAGGCAGTCCGCAGCACGTTGAGTCGTCAAGGGGATTGTGATGCTGTCCTTAAGCCCAACCTAATGCTCTCAAGTTGCCCCCAACTTACACTAGGGCTAACCTAGTTTCCAAGTTGACAACTGTATTCTGGAACACGAACGTGCGTTCTCCACGAGTTTGCTTGGAGACCGCTTGAGACTCAGCATCTCTCCGTATACCGGTACCCAGGGGAAGCCGATGTTGTGCTGTACTGGTCGAAACGTAACATCCAAAGGACTGTGTAGGTTGATTCTCCGATACTGAAACATCTCTCCGTACCACAGGGATGCCAATTCTGTCCCGGCCGAAACGTAGCATCGAAAGGACGTCAGTCTCCAATGCTGGTTGAGGGTGACGTCCTTGACACCGAATATACTAGCTAGCTACAGCAATCTGATAGTATCCTGCATTTTCTACTCGCAATCTGGAACGTGGCCTGGGGATGAAAGGTCGTTGCTAGCTAGCTATCCATCAAAGCTGTATGCGATGACTGAGGTTCTGGCAGATTTGTCATCAGCACAGAGCAAACATTTTGACGTTGGTAGTCGTGAGGAAAGATGGAGATTTATGAGATGAAACTGATGATTTAGGACGGTGGAACTTCATCTTTCCAACTCCCGCGGTCGCCAGGCCTTCCTTGTCATTGGTTCATATCTTTTACAACCATTGCCCCCAAACAGCGGCGATGGTTCATAAAAAGAGATTGACAAGAGAGAAGGAAGCCATTTTCCATCTCGCCATCACTTCTGAATCAGAGTTTGCAGCCGAGCGATCTTTAGCTATAGGATTTGACCATGACGGAGGCAACCAATGAAACCGCTACTACTGTAGAGAAGGAAGAGGAAACGATCGAATTCATTCGAGAAGTTGCCACCAAGACAACCAAGTATGCAGCAATTTGGATCTGTCCCATCAGCCATGAATTGCCTGTGGATCCTGTCATTGCTTGGGATTGCTATATCTATGATCGCAAATGCATTGAGACCCACTTTGAGACGAATGGTCCCACGTCTCCCATGACGCGCATAGAGATACCGCCCCAGGTCTACCCAGTCATCCATCAGTCTGCAGTTGCCTGTGGATTCTGTCATGGCAGAGGATGGCTGTTTCTACGATCGCGAATACTTTACAGCATACTACGAGTCCAAGTTGAAGCAAGGTGATGCCAATCCCACGTCTGTCATTACCCATGAAAAGATAGGGCCATGGTTTTTCCCATCCAAACAGCACAGCAACATGATTCAGACTGCAATCGACAAGGGTATGATCCCTGAGGATCAGGCCAAAGTATGGAAGGAAAAGAAGCAGCAGAAGCAGCAGAAGCAGAAGAAGGAAAAGGAAAAGCAGAAAAAGATGGAAGAACTATTGAAGAAAGCCGACGCTGGAGATTTTTTGGCTCTACACCATTTAGGATTCAACTTTGAAAACGGAGTAGATGGTAGGAGTTTTCCACGTAATGAAAGGAATAGGTGCCCGACGCCAATATTATCATTAGCCGAGCTGCAGAGCTTTCTCTGACACCCAGGGATCCTCGCCGCCGAATCGGGAGCCGTAGGGCGTCCGTGATAGACAATGGCCACCACAGGAAAGAAGGAAGAAAGGGGGTTCTTGAAGCAGGGAAGAGGCTGGTTGATTAGAGCGCCAAAGGAATGAAGAAGGTTGAAAAGATTAGGTATCGGGAGCCAGACCAGGACGACCGTATTACACAATGGTCGATGGACCGATTCGGTCAACGAACAAGGCCGGTATCTAAGAGGCTGCTGGTCAGGGAAACTAGCAATGTGTCGGTGAAAACGACCGACAGAGCAATCCAACTTTACCCAGCCTGGAACCACCGCAAAATTTACTCACAAATTGCTCAATAAGAGGTCACGACAGGAACGGTTGCATTGGCCCTTACCACTTATCAACTCGTATCTGAACCATCGTTGTCATCGTCGTACCCGTACGTCACGAGCTGCATGGATCGTGCAATTTTCCCTCTTTCTTTTTGTGTGCCGGGCGTGGAATATGCGACAAACACTGGGGGGTTCCTCGCCGCGGAACGATGAATCGAATTGGGAGCCTAGCTAGCTAGGA